CGGCTATTTTTTGGTTGCAGCCGTCATTGTTGTTTGGCGGGTCCAGGCTGGGGATTCGAACCCGCCACCTTAGGTGTACGTGGCTGGCGCCCTAGCCGGTTGAGCTATAGGTGCCGAGCCGATTTTTAATATTTCAAAGATTATGTCTTTATTTCTAGAAAATCTGTTTGGTTCTTTTTCAAACCTACTATAATTTTCTGTTTCCTGAAGATATTTTCAGGCATGTCTTGAAATATCTTTTTGTTTAAGCATAGTAAGAATAATTGTTCTATACAATCTGTATATGATGTTATTATCTAAATCATTTGGGTCTGATTTTGCTGTGTTTTGTTTATGCTTCTTGCTTATGGTACCTTGTATAGTTGTTTCTATTTGTAACTTCCACAGGTTTCAACTTCCATCACTCTAGTCTACACCTGTGTTAGCACATGTCCTTCTGTATGTATGTTACTAGGCAGAGGAATTTTCAGCTCCATTATAATCATAGTAGGCTTTTTAAACACCGGTGTATGCTAAAGGGAAAGTACTGAAGACATTGGGGGGAAGATTTGTCACTGGCCATCTGCTCATTGGCTGACACCTATCAAAGTTAGGCTTCTCTTCTCCCACAGAGATTGGGAAACTGAGAGACCCTGTCCTTTTATTTTTTGAGACAGAGTCTCACTATGTCACCCTCAATAGAGTGCTATGGCGTCACAGCTCACAGCAACCTCAAACTCTTTGGCTCAAGCGATTTTCTTGCCTCATCTTCCTAAGTGGCTGGCACTACAGGCAGCCCACCACAATGCCCAGCTGTGTATTTTATTTTTTTATTTTATTCTTTCTTCTTTTCTTTATTTTTTTGTAATGACAGAGTCTCACTTCATTGCCCTCGGTAGAGTGCTATGGTGTTACACAGCTCACAGCAACCTCCAACTCTTGGGCTTAGGTGATTTTCTTGCCTTAGCCTCCTGAGTAGCTAGGACTATAGGCATCCACCACAACACCTGGCTATTTTTTTGTTGTAGTTTGGTAGGGGCTGTGTTTGAACCCACAACCCTTGGTATATGGGGCCAGTGCCCTAACAACGGAGCCATAGGTGCTACCCTATTTATTCTTTATTTTTGAAACAGTCTCATTGTGTCGCTCTTGGTAGAGTGCTGTGACATCACAGCTCACAGCAACCTCAAACTCTTGGGCTTAAGGGATTCTCTTGCCTTAACCTCCCAAGTAGCTAGGACTACAGGTGCCTGCCACAACGCCCAGCTATGGGGTCTTGCTCTTTCTCGGGCTGGTCTTGAACCCGTGAGCTCATGCAATTGACCCACCTCAGACTCCCAGAGTGCTAGAGTTGCAGGTGTGAGCCACCAAGCCTGGCCCTGTCCTTCATTTTTTTTTTTTTTTTTAAGTTTTTGGCCAGGGCCAGGTTTGAACCCACCACCTCCACTGTATGGGGTTGGGGTTGGTGCCCTACTCCTTGAGCCATGGGTGCCACCTGACCTTGTCCTTGATGGTTACATTTCAAGGGTGATGGTTCCTAAGCCTTGAGAAAGACATTTCTGAGTTGTAGAATATTTACATATCAAAGAGCAAAGAAAAGATTTGCAACTGCAAGTTTTCTAAAACAAATGCTCTAGGAAAAGTGAGCACAGGAGCCTATATTCATGTTTTGGCTGGAACAAACAGTAAATTCTTTTGGCAGCATTAAGCTTTCTCAGGTAGGCATCTTAAGTGGGTAGGGGTAGGGTCATTCTAGGGACATAACCTTGACCTGATAGAAGCTAGGTTAGAATGTGGTCAAGTCTTTTAGAAGGGAAGGGGTTGGATGGAGTCATTTGTGTTGAGTTTGCATTGCAGTTCTCAGTACCTGGATAAATTTTGTATACAAAATTTCAGTATTTGGGCTTAGCACCTGTAGCTCAGTGGCTAGGGTGCCAGCCACATACACTGGAGTTGGTAGGTTCGAACCCAGCCTTGGCCTGCCAAACAACAATGACAATTACAACAAAAAAATAGCTAGGCATTGTGGCAGGCACCTGTAGTCCCTCCTACTTGGGAGGCTGATGCAAGAGAACTGTTTAAGTCCAAGAGTTTAAGGTTGCTGTGAGCTGTGACACCACGGCACTCTACTGAGGGCAGCATAGTGAGACTCTGTCTCAAAAAATAAAAATTAAAAAAAATATATTTTAGGGGTGGTGCCCGTGGCTCAATGAGTAATACAGTAGCCCCATATACTGAGGGTGGTGGGTTTGAACCCGGCCCCTGCCAAACTGCAACAAAAAAATAGCCGGACATTTCAGGTTACTATGAGCTATGATGCTACAGCATTCTACTGAGGGTGATAGAGTAAGACTCTGTCTGAAAAAAAAAAAAACTTGGAAACCATTTACTTTCTCAATTGTTAAAATATCATTATAACTGGCTTGGCGCCTGTGGCTCAAGCGGCTAAGGCACCAGCCACATACACTTAAGGTGGCGGGTTCGAATCCCCAGCCCGGGCCCACTAAACAACAATGATGGCTGCAACCAAAAAATGGCCAGGCGTTGTGGCGGGCGCCTGTAGTCCCAGCTACTTGGGAGGCTG